AAAGGCACAAAAAGTTAAGTTTCCCACCCTGCTCTGGTCGTCAGCCATCCAGTGGGTGTCCCTAGAGGGAACCATATCTGTATGTGATTGTATAGTTGAATGTCTCTGTTGTCCTCGATCTTGACTTTTTCTGGATGTTCCTCTCGTTCCTCCAGAACAATGTTCTTTTCATCCTGCCCCTTCCCCCAGCACCCTGTACTGAGTTGAGGGCCCTCCCTGCACAGCCACCTGGCAAATGTTACGGATCAGCTGACAGCATGTCTGTACTACAAGAATATTTGATGAGCATCTTTATTCGATTGTGAATTAGATGCATTTTCATTCACTTACGTTCCTGTTCTTCTAAGATAAGCCAAGAAGTGCTGATGGCCACATCGGCCTCACTCATGCCATCTTCCGTTCATGAACCATTGCTTCCATTTGTAATGCTGCCAGCCCAGGATGGTTTAGAGCTCACTCACACATTTTTCAGGGGACGGTTGTGCAAGAAATGTCGATATTTTCCAGCACTTTTTTGGCCCCTTCAATGGTTTCTTCTTTTGGCTTCTGCAAGAGCAAATCCTCAGCCCTGCCTCACCCCTGTCCTCAGCCCTGCCTGCACACACACACCCACATGTGCTCGGGGCCTCTCTGTCCCTCTCTTCCCAGAACCACTGGACATGAGAAAAGTACTGCAAGGAAGAAGCCTGGCTTCCTCAGGCAGGAGGGTTTTTGTTTGTTTGTTTGTGTTTTTGGCTTTTGCTGAGCATTGCTTGTAGGTGTGGCCTTTGCAGATGCTCTTTTGCTCCCTTTTTCTGTCCCCTGACAGTTGTGGGGAGTTCACCTGCTTGTCCTCTGCTTCCTCCAGGCTAGCATAGCTCCCCTTCCTTGTGTACTCTGGGGCCCTGCCTGCTGCGGAGCAACTTCCCTCCGGCTTCCTCCCTCAACTGGATGCTTTGCCCACGGTCGGTCGAGTGGCAGCCCCCGCCGTCCTCCCGGTGCCGGTGGCCAGTGATTAAGTAGCCGGGTCTTTAGCTGAGTCCATCTCTGTTTGTCATAACGCTGCTGCAAGTTATTTTGGTCTCTGTGACTGGTGGCTGCACCATGATTAGGGTTTGATTACTATCACCAAAGTGACTAAAAGATGAAAATAGAAGCCACAACAGGAAATAAACCACTGCAAATGAGATATTTTATTCCATATTCCCTGCCAGCAAATGATTAGAATCAAACTCATTCACAATAGTTGGGTGAACTCTAAACTTTTTCTTTCTTTCTTTTTTTTTAAGGATCAGAATAGCTTGAAACGGGGTGCTTGTCAGTCTCGCTTGTGCCTGTGGAGACGAGAGGAACTCCCTTTCTAGGCACACCAGCCAGCCAGGAGTTCCTCCCTGGGCTGGCTTCTTTCTTGGAAAGGAAAGGGACAAGAATGCAGTGGGGCGGGGCTGGCTCTCAGGAAGGCTTGGGATGTTAACTGATTCAGGGGATGTCAGGAAGCCATAAGGCAGCACCAATCACTGCTGCTACTTGCCCAGCATCCCAGCCATCATCTACGTCGGGTAGTAAAATGGAGGAAAGCTGTGGACAGAGGGTAAGAGAGAGGTGACGCCTGAATTAAAACACCCACAATTACACTCTATGGGAACATATCTCTGCAAGTATATGCATGCTGTACTCAGACAAGCTGTGATGTCAGATTCAGCTCCTGAAACACCCACTAAATCTACCTGCCCTGTGTGTGCTCTGGCCTCTCATCACAGACTATTAGCACCATTGGCCAGATTTCTAAAAGAGTCTTCAGCCTCTCCATTTAGCCAAGATGCTTAATGAGAATTATGACATTTGCTTTCCCTTATTTATGTCCTTGTCACTTTGCAGCCTAGCCTAGCCTCTCTTGAAAAGCAAAGATCGTGTAGGGAGGCCCAGAGCAGAGAGAGGGAATGGGACCCTGTGAGGGTAGGAAACTTGCCCAGAAAGCTTTTTAATCCCTGCCAAGTATACGGCCGAGGCCAAACGTGAGGATAACCACTGGTGCAAGTTAGTTAACCAGTGAGGGCAGAGCCCCAGCCTGGAATCAGGTTTTCTGACGTCTAGCCTGGGATTCTTAGCCTTTCTAAGGGGAGTATATTGTGTATTTCCCAGAAATCTTATTTCTGTCTCTTTTGTCTTTCCTGCCTATGATGATGGGATCACCCAGAGCCACTCATCCATTTCTTCCTGGGGCTTTCTTGCTGCTGTCTTTGCAAATTTGCAAGGTGCTTCTTTACAAAGTTTCACACACACACACACACACACACACACACGCACGCACGCACGCGGTCTCCATGCCCTTTTCACTAGGCAACATTTTTATTTACAATAAAATTATGACCTTACACAATTGCAGCTATGTGGCCTTACAAAGTAAACGTTTAGAATGCCAGCTTCTGCCCTGTCCTACATACATTTCTACACTGCTCGGCACCCCTGTGTCTTACAAGTCAACACGCTTCAGGGGTCTCTTGCCTGGAGCTGATGGTGTAAGCAACATTGCTGATTTTCTCTCACATTTTTATCTCCAAAGGTGCTTTTGTTAGATCTGGGGGGAGCAGTCCAAATGCCCCCTTTGCATCCTATGTTGGTTCCTCAATGTTTATTAAGCATCTACTGCCTGTCAGGCGCCTCTTAAATTGCTGGAGGGGAGGGGGCTGAACTGTAAAGCTAAAATTAATCTGTCCCATTTCCTTCTAAGAAGGTATAATTTAACTGGGATAATGAAAATAGTACATCGCACCTTTCCTGAAGATTCGTCGTTCATCTCATCCCCAATGAGGTTCACTGTTGTCCTGATATCACAATTGTAAATCCCTTAAAAAAATATTTTTTATTTCACTGAATCATCTGTGAGGTTAGATCACCATGCCAACTAGTGGCCTCGTCAATAGTGATGCGTATATATTTAAACCATTTCTTTTCTCAGTACCATCAGTTTTCACGAAATAAACGCATTCTGGTCGTGTGCCCTACCAAGGCCTTACCCCATTTCCTTGCCGTAATCTGCTAGCTGGGTCTCTGCTTCTCCCGAACGTGGGGTCAGGGGCTAAACTCTATGACCCTGAGCACCTTGAACGCTACGGAGCCGAGAAGGGCGCAGAAACAGGCCGTGCATGCATATGCATGCCCTAGGCAGGTCTGCTCGGAAAGGTAACCTTCCCGCGCCGGGAGGCGGGGTGCCGGAGGTCTTCCGGGCTCCGGAGGAAACCTGCCGGCGGCGGGGCCGGAGAGCCACCCCCCACCTCGCCCCCGCCCGTTCTCCCGCCTGGATGCTGCCCCTCGCAGCTCGTCAGCCGGCCAAATGCATTCCAGAGCTGTGCACAAGACACACTTCTCCAGGCAGTCCTAGAAACCCGAGCCCGGAGCGGGAGAGGGCGGGAGGGAGCGCGCGGCCGCCGCTGAGGTCACATTCGCGCCGCCTCCCCGCCCTCGGCGGCCCGGCTGTTCCCTCCAGCGTACACTTCCCAGGGCCGCGGTCCAGTCCGGTGTAAATGTCTTTTAAAACGGAGACAGCGCTCTCCTCCCCCTTCCCTCCAGCGCGGCCAGGGGATCCGCCGCCAGGGCCTTTAAAACAAAACGAATGAATGAAGCGCTAGGGCGAGCGCGCGCGGGACAGCCGCTGCGAAGCTCCCCCGGCTGCGTCTAAATCGGGCCGCCGACCGGTTCGTTCCGCTTGAAAACCCTCCGGCGAAGCCCGCTCGGTGCTTTTGGGTTTTCCCATTTCTCCTCTGATCCGGCCAGGTCTCCGTCGTTTCTGGGAGCTCCTCAGCTCCCCACCTTTACCCGCACCCCCACCCCCCGAGTGGTACCCCTTCTGCAGACCGGGGAGGGGGTGGCAGTGGCGGGGGTGTGTGTGTGTGTGGGGGGGGGGGAGAAATAGCTTTTAGAAACCCGATCTGTTGTTTGCGAAACACAATCGCTTTTTTTTTTTTTTTAAAGCGACAGGGTGTCTAGACGGCCACGTGACGAGGCCGGAGCCGGGCGCGCCACTGCGCAGTGGAACCAGCAGAGCAGAGGGCCCGAGGGGGGGGAGCGGGGGGCGGGGAGGAGGCGGCGGCGGCGGCGGCGGCTGGGGGCGGGGGAGCGGAGGGGGAGGAAGGGGGAGGGAAGGGGGCGGGGGCGGGAGGCCTTGCGGGAGGCGGCGAGCCGCGGGCACACTCGCTCACTCGCTCGGCGCACGGAGCAGCCTGTCCCCGAGCCGCGCCAGCCGAGCCAGCCGGGCGCCGTGCTCGGTCCGCTCGCCGCGCGGGAGAGAGCTGCCCGAGACAGAGCCAGCCCGCCGGCGCCGAGCTGCCGAGCGTCCGGCCCCGGAGACCCTGAGTGCGGCGCGGCGAGCCCCCGGCGGCGGCAGAAGGACCCGAGCGCCAGGAGAGGGCGGACGGGGGACAAGGAGGCTCCCGGGCGCGACGAGGAGAGTCTCGGTGGAGGAGGCGGCGTGAGGACACCCGGGCCTCCTTGCCGCCGCAGCCGGGTCGGGGCGAGCAGCTCCTACGGGGAGTCCAGGCGGCCAGCCGCGGCCAGGGGAGGGGGCGCCGGCGGCCCCCGCATTAGTGAGCAGCTAGCGCCCAGGAGGGCGAGAGCG